ACAGGTCCACAGACTCGGCGAGGGATCCCCGTGAAATGGGTGGGGCCGCTGAGGCCGGGAGAGCAGAAGCGGCTGGGCTGCGCAGGCAGGCGCAGCAGGTCGCGTCGCGGGGCTGGTGGTGGCGGCATGTGCAGTGTTTATCTCAGCGGAACACGCGTACGTGGTTCGGATGCTGGGACGGACTGGCCATTCGCTCCCACCGGCGATCTCGCCAGGGGCAGCAACAGGCCCTGCCTTTGCCCTTAAGAGGGGGTGGGCATGTGGGTGCAAGGCCAGACCTCACCAGCCAGTTCCTGCCTTGTGTTGGGCGCCTGGATCCAAAGGGTTCTTGGAGAGGTAACTCACCTTTCTTACGAGCCATTTGGGGAAACTGAGGTTCCATGGGGGCAGTGGCTGGCCTTGCAGATGGGAAGCACAAACCAGGTCTTCCGATGCCCCGCAGGCGTGTGGTGGTGGAGTATGTGTGTGTGTGTGCTCTTGGCTTGGGGTCATTTGAGCAGCACTCTTGGACTGGCAGGTCGCTGTGTGTCATGCTGGAGGAGTCAGACTCCCCAGCCGGCCTCCACTGTGGACTCTGCCTTGCCCAGTGCAGAGCCCCTGGAGCCCTCCCGGCAGCCAGGTGTCCAGAGTGTCCCTGTTAGCCCTGTTGACAGTTTGGCGTGGTGCCCTGTTGAGTCTGTTTCCTCGGAGAACGCCCGTGTGAGGTCCCCGTGTGAGGTCCCCTGTGTGCCTGGCTCTGTAGGAGGTCTGAGGGTCTGGCCGTGAGCAGAAACCCAACAGTGCGCACATCCTGAAGGGCCTTGGTCAGTAAAGGACCAGCGGGTGTGCACATGTCAGGTGCGATGGGCCACCGCCTGCCTCCGCCCAGCAGACCCGTTGCGGCCCTGGAGCCTCTTACTCTGTGTGACCTCGGGCAGCTCGCTGCCCGTCTCAGAGCTGCGGTTCCGTCTCTGAACTAGGGGGAGCCACGAGGTTGGCTCGGCCTTCCACAGGGCAGCCAAACCCTACAAAATCATTGGGGGCCAGCCGTCTAGTGGTGAGGTGGCGCTTTGTTACCTAGCAGGGAGCGCCTGGTCAGGGCTAGCTGCCTGCTTTCCGTCGTGGCCACACTGGCCACCAGCCTCCGCCAGCACCGTGAGAGGCACCACGTGCCTGGTGGACACCGAAGCACCTGGTCCTTGCCTTGTGCTGGGAACCCCGTGGTTTCCGTTGTCCTTCGGATACAGTGCACGTCCTCCCTATGACCCCCGCCCTGTGGCCCACAGATCTCCCATCACCCCCCACCCCCAGCCCTCTGTGCGCTCTCTGCCCTCGGAGGGACCTGGCTGCCGCGATGCTGCTCCCTCGCCGGGGGACATCCTCCGGGGCGTCCCTGATCCCCTCCGCGAGTTCTCCCTCAGTGCCGTACACGGCCACTCGGTTGTTGTCTCTGTCCCCAGCTAGATGGGTAACTTCTGTGGGTGGAGACGGCGGAACCGGTTCCTGGAGTGACTTCCCGCCGTCCCTCCTGGCCCAGAGGCAGTGCTTAGTGGGCGCCGTGCAGCGCTGGGCACCCCGCCAGTGGGGGGGGGGCGCCCCAGCAGTCCTCCTGCTGTTACCTTGCCCGGTCTGAGCTGGACCGGGCTCGGCCAGGCGGCGTCGCTCAGGGCCACCATGCGCTTGCAGCCCGTCGAGGGCTGAGGCCGGAGGAGGGCCTCCTGGCTCACGTGTGGCTGCTGGTGCTAGGGCTTCCTCACAGCATGGCGGCAGGGTTCCAGCAGTGACTCTGAGTCGCGTTTTACCAGCCAGCCTAGGAAGTCACATACAGCCCTGCCTCCAAAGTCACAGGCCCAGCCAGACACGCAGGTGGGGGCACAGAACCCCAGCTCTTAAACGGAGGC